TAGTAAAAATAATAATTCAAAAAAATCCCAGTATATATATCGCCATTTGTAAATGCTATAACTTTCACATAAACCAATTAATTTACACGTATTGGGATTTTTTTTTAGCAAAGACATGGTGCAGAATACATTTTGGCCTAAATTTATGACGAAATTTGATTTTTTACATTTTTTTTACTGGACGTGTTTAATAGCAAAAAGTCAAAAATATTGTTTTTTTTCTCAAAATTGTGGGACATTTTTTTTTTTAAAGCAAAAAATAAAAACCACACAGGCAATCAAATACCCCAAAAAGAAAGCTTAATTCGTGGGAAAAAAAGGACGTAAATTTAATTTGGGTGCAGAGTTGCATGACCGCGCTATTGTCAAAGTAACGTAGCGCCGTAACGCATAAAATGACCTGGTCAGGAAGGGGGATAAATCCTCTGGAGTTCAAGTGGTTAAAGCCAATGGAGACATCAAAGAAAGTGGAATATTCATCGGTCGTGGTGGGCAATGGCGGCCTCCGTATGCAGCATTTTGATTCATTTCTATTTCCTTCGTCTTCTTGGATTTGTTGTACTCATATTTTTATGGCTACTAATATTTAATTAAAAGAGGCAGCAAGCCCCCCCCCTGCTTTCTGCCCTCACTAATAAAGACTGGATTAGACATTAAGTCCGCTCTCTTTTTGTTCTTGCTACTAGAAGGAGTATAAAAACATTCCGAATTCTATTACTGATGGAAGAAACACAAAAGTTTGAAGAGTATTTTTTTTTAGAAACAGCCAATCGATGCAGTCTAATGCCTTCTCCACACGGAGCTAGAGCAAGTATTCAGTTTTATTGATTTTGGAAAGATAAATGAAGCTGAAAACTTTTAAAGTGTTATCTCTCAATTTTCTCCCTTGCACAAATCCACCTGATCCACAATTACTAATTGGCAGTAGTGGTGCTGTTCTATTAGCAATGAGCATGGAACATATTCATTTTTCTACTCGGTAAAAAAAATTGTGCTAAAGTTTGGTTGGAAACTTTACTGTCTTTGGGAAATATTATTATATGTACAAGGCATATTTTAGGACCTCTTCATCCTCCCTTCAGCACTTCAAATACGTGTTCCTCTTCCTTCTCTATTCTTAGTAATTTCTCCTCCTTCCAACGTGGTTCAGGTGTTGCTTGTACTCCTCAAATTTCTTTCTCCTCTGGACATTGTTTAGGTTTTGCTTGCCCTTCTCATATCTTCTTCCCCAGACATTGGTCAGGTGTCGCTTGTCCTCCTCAAATCTTCTTCTCCTCCAGACATGATTTAGGTTTTACTTGTCCTCTTTACTTCCTCTCACTCTTGTCAATCCTTCTTCCTTAGTCGCTTCTTCTCCAGACATGGTTCAAGTGTTGCTTGTCTGTGTGAAATCTTCTTCTCCTCCAGACCTGATTCAGGTTTTGCTTGTCCTCGTCACTTCTTCTCACTCTTCTCAATCCTTCTTCCTTAGTCACTTCTTCTCCAGGCATGGTTCAAGTGATGCTTGTACTTGTGAAATCTTCTTCTCCTCCAAACATGATTCAGGTTTTGCTTGTCCTCTTCACTGCTTCTCACTCTTGTCAATCCTTCTTCCTTAGTCTTTTCTTCTCCAGACATGGTTCAAGTGTTGCTTGTTGTTGTGAAATCTTCTTCTCCTCCATACATGATTCAGGTTTTGCTTGTCCTCTTCACTTCTTCTCTCTCTTGTCAATACTTCTTCCTTAGTAACTTCTTCTCCAAACATGGTTCTAGTGTTTCTTGTCCTTGTGAAATCTTCTTCTCCTCCATACATGATTGAGGTTTTGCTTGTCCTGATCACTTCTCACTGTCAGTCCTTCTTCCTTAGTCACTTCTTCTCCAGACATGGTTCAAGTGCTGCTTGTCCTTGTGAAATCTTCTTCTCCATACATGATTCAGGTTTTGCTTGTCCTCATCACTTCTTCTCACTGTCAGTCCTTCCTCCTTAGTCACTTCTTCTCCAGACATGGTTCAAGTGTTGCTTGTCCTTGTGAAATCTTCTTCTCCTCCAGATACGATTCAGGTTTTGCTTGTCCTCTTCACTTCTTCTCACTCTTGTCAGTCCTTCCTCCTTAGTCACTTCTTCTCCAGACATGGTTCAAGTGTTGCTTGTCCTTGTGAAATCTTCTTCTCCTCCAGATACGATTCAGGTTTTGCTTGTCCTCTTCACTTCTTCTCACTCTTGTCAATCCTTCTTCCTTAGTCACTTCTTCTCCAGACATGGTTCAAGTGTTGTTTTTCCTTGTGAAATATTCTTCTCCTCTTCTAAACATCGTTTGAGTGTCTATTGTCCTCCTCAAATGTTTTTTCTTCTTCCAGATATGATTCAGGCTTTCTCTTGTCACCCTCAAATCTTCTTTTTCCTCTTCTAGACATGTTTCAGGTGTCACTTGTCCTCATCAAATGTCCTCCTCCAGACGTGATTCAGGTTTCACTTAAATTCTTTGGGGTTGATTTACTAAAGACAAATAGACTGTGCACTTTGCAAAGTGCAGTTGCCCTCTGCAAGTGCAATTGCTACAGAGCTTTGTAAATGAGATAAAGATAACAAGGAATACCCAATAGTGTCCAAGGAAAATTGAAAAACGTTTGCTTACACATGATTGGATCATGGAAGTCAGCAGAGCTTTTTCTGATTTATTAAGCCCTGGAGCAACTGCTCTTGCACAGGGCAACTGTGCAGTGTCTATTTGCCTTTAGTAAATCAACCCCAATAGATTGACTTTAAAAGTAACAGCTAGGCTAGGTGCACACTTTGGGGTTGATTTACTAAAGCCAATTAGACTGTGTACTCTGCAAGTGCAGTTGCTCCAGAGCTTAGTAAATGAGCAGAAGCTCTGCTGACTTCCATCATCCAATTATGTGCAAGCAAAAGTGCTTTTTTTTCAATTTTCCTTGGACATGATTGGGCATTCCTTGCAAAGTGAATCTTTATCTCATTTACAAAGCTCTGGAGCAATTGCACTGGCAGAGGGCAACTGCACCTTGTATGGTGCACAGTCTATTTATGTTTTTTTTTTTTCATTTTCAATTTCCTTGCCTGTGATTGGTTATTCTTGGCAAAGGGAAGCTTTACCTCATTTACTAAGCTCTGGAGCAACTACACTTGCAAAGTGCACAGTCTAATAGCATGTAATAAATCAACCTCTGTGTGCCTAAAAATGCTTGGCGTGTTTACTGTGTGTTGATTTTGCTGCTTTGCAGGGAATCAAAAACCGGCTCATCCCCGCTGTTATTTACAATCACAGAGCTCTGTCCTGTCATCCACTGGGCGATCGGTGGGTCCTGTGATCCGCTGGGCGATCGGTGGGTCCTGTGATCCGCTGGGCGATCGGTGGGTCCTGTCATCCGCTGGGCGATCGGTGGGTCCTGTCATCCACTGGGCGATCGGTGGGTCCTGTCATCCTCTGGGCGATGGGTGGGTCCTGTCATCCACTGGGCGATGGGTGGGTCCTGTCATCCACTGGGTGATCGGTGGGTCCTGTCATCCACTGGGCGATCGGTGGGTCCTGTCATCCACTGGGCGATCGGTGGGTCCTGTCATCCACTGGGCGATGGGTGGGTCCTGTCATCCACTGGGTGATCGGTGGGTCCTGTCATTCACTGGGCGATCGGTGGGTCCTGTCATCCACTGGGCGATCGGTGGGTCCTGTCATCCACTGGGCGATCAGTGGGTCCTGTAATCCACTGGGTGATCGGTGGGTCCTGTCATCCACTGGGCGATCGGTGGGTCCTGATATTTAGTTAAAGCACAAGCCAATCAGTGGGTCATTGGCTGGGACCCACTGATTGGCTTGTGCTTTAACTAAATATCAGAACAATCTTTTTTTTTTTTTTTTTTTTTTTGCGCCATCACCAGACAAGCAGTTCTGTCTCTCCCATTTTGGACATCAACCACCTATGATGAAGGCTATATATACTTCCATATAGTGATGACTTGCACACCTGTTTAGTCATTCCAAACCCATATGTGGAGGCTTTGCAATCCAACAGGCCCCTGGTATTGTTTCCATTTCTGCTCTCCATGTTTGACAAAAGATTGCGGTACAAGATTTGAAATCTTTTCTTTGATAAGCCCTGGTGGAGTCCACCTTTGGCCACTCTTGGTAGTAGTCGGGACAGCATTTCCCCACGTGTCCTTGTTTGGGAGAATCTGGGAGATGGTGACCAGGGGTGGACTGACCATTTGGAAACTCGGGCACTGCCCGAGGGCCCGGGGTCAGTAGGGGGCCCCATGAGAATCCCCTGGTACCTTTTTCATAGGCTTTTTTGAGTTTGGGCAAGGACACAGGGGCCCCATGATCCCCTATTGCCCGGGGTCCCCATGAGTTGTCAGTCCGCCCCTGATGGTGACGGCTAATATCCATTGATTTTAAATTTGCTGTGGTTTTTTTTTCATCAGTCATCTCACACCGAGTATCTTGTCTTGTATCTAGGCACTTCTGAAGAAGAGATTCTATGTTTGTCTAGAAACGTGTCAATGGACTACAATGGTTTGAACTCTGCTTTCAAAACTGTATCTAGTGTGAACCATGTTTGATGTAAAATGTTTGACCGCCTTTTCTCTTGTTACATGATTTTAACTATTTACTGTATAATAAAATTGATTCTAAATATTTTTATAAAAAAAAAATTCTGTCTTTATGTGGCGTAGCCTCCCTAGCGGTCTGATGATGTCAGTATTTCTGTGCTCAAAGCGGTACATTTTTTTGCATGGAAATATGTTTTTTTTTATTGTAGGTCTGTAATTCTTAGAAATAACTCACTGAAATCTGTCCGAACAAGAGTCTAGTAAACATCCCGGGGATGATAAAATTTAAACAAGAAATCATAAATTATAATATAATAAATAATCATCAAAAAAAATTATAATTTAATAATAATAATAAATGTAATTCAATAATGTAATCAAACCAAAAACACTGAAATGTGAAATAGAGCGCCAAGTTCGCACATCGCTGAGCTCAGTCGCAGAATCGTTTTCAGTGTCTGATGAGGAATTTCCCCCACGAATCATTATCACTCAATTCTGCAAGTGGTTCTGATTTACTATCGCTGTTCTCTAGCCGGTCTAAAACCGCTTTTGACCTAAAGGGACGCTTTTTGTACGCCATGGACGTTTCTCAATTTCCAGGCAGAAAGGGCGGTAAAAATGCAGGCAGGGCGCCGGACAAAGCACTCGGGACAAAATGTATGTGAAATGGTTTGATACAGGAATGTTATACTATGTGATTTTAGGGCTCGTTCACACTTGGCTGTTTTACCAACGCTTGCCAAACGCTCCTATAGCGTTTGGCAAGCGTTGGTCCGGCGTTTTTTAACGCTCGGCAAACGCTCCGCAAACGCCACATGCGCGGTTTAGCGACGGTTGCTAGGCGTTTGCCGAGCGTTAATAACACCCCACAAACGCCTATAATGCAATTTGAGTGGTGTTACTGCTCCGCAAATGCCCCGCAACTGCCGGCCGGGCGTTTGCGGAGCGGCACCATAGACGAGAATAGGAGGCTTCAAAGCCTCCTGACTCGACCAGAGGCGTCCATTTTGACGCAACGCGACGCAAACGCTCCCGTTAGAACAGCACCATGTGCTGTAATGTGCAGAATTGGCAGAGGCATTTGGGAAGCGGTAAAAACGCTTTCCAAATGCCTCTCTGCCGCCTGCACACAACGCTAGTGTGAACGTAGCCTTAGTGTATTGAGTGAATGTCGCGTTTTGACATTTTTACATTTCCCTCCAGTTCGTTCCCTGTATGTCCTGACGTCCAGGGGCGGACTGACAACTCATGGGACCCCCGAGCATAGGGGATCATGGGGCCCCTGTGTCCTTGCCCAAACTCAAAAAAAACCTATGAAAAAGGTACCAGGGACATCTCATGGAGCCCCCTACTGACCCCAGGAGATCATGGGGCCCCTGTGTCCTAGCCCAAGCTAAAAAAAAAGCCTATGAAAAAGGTACCAGGGGCATCTCATGGGCCCTCGGGCAGTGCCCGAGTTTCCAAATGGTCAGTTTGCTCCTGTTGACGTCGCTGGGAATGGAACCCGGAAGATGGATGCCTGCATCGGCCGGAGGACATTGCCGGGGACACTGCAGGGGGGACATCGCGGGAGCGCAGGACAAGGTAAGTGATCACTGGAATCCCACAGCAACGCTGCAGTGTATTCCCGAGTGTAGCTCGGGGTTACCGCTTGTGGTGCTGAAACTTTACCCCGAGCTACACTCGGCAATACCTCCAGGGAGGTTAAAAATCCCCAAAAAAGAGGGCCCATTCTTTTTTTGAAAATTCTTTACAAAAGCCTAGCAGATGATGCACAATACAAGCTCTACATTTTTCTACATTTTAATCATTAACAATAAAAGGCAGATCATGGTATTTTGCCATAAAAATATTTTCCTAAGATTTGAATCACAAGTGAATTCAGCTATAGAACGCTCCACAAGTTCCGTGTAATTAACTTTCTGATCTGCAGAAGAGAGACCACAGGCCAGACCTCATTATTTTTATGTTTTGGCTGTTGTTTGCTTCTTTTCAGAAGTTTTTTCTTTTTGGTAATTTTCTTACAACACACTTATTTTGGATGTACTAAGTCATTATTTTTCGTCTCAAAACTCATTTGCTGTACCATTTGTCAAAGCATCTTTTTTCAAGTCTATTTCTACCTGTTTGTATATAAAAAAAATATTGTATTGAATTACTGAACTTAGTGCTTAGAATAATAAAAAGAGTATGCTTTTACAGTGGGAAAAATAATTATTTGAGCCCCTGCAGATTTTATAGGTTTGCCCACTTGCAAAGAAATGAAGGGTCTATTATTTTTTATCATAGGTGTATTTTAAATGATAGAGACAGAATATCAACCAAAAATCCAGAAAAAACTCATGATATGTTATAAATGGAGTTGCGGTTCAGTGAGTAAAATAGGCATTTGATCCCCAAAACTTAACCTAGTACTTAGTGGAGAATCCCTTGCTTGGAATCACAGAGGTAAGACGTTTTTTGCAGTTGGTTCCCAGGTTTGCACACATCTCAGGAGGGATTTTGGTCCACTCTTCTTTACAGATCTTCTCTAAATCCTTAAGGTTTCTTGGCTGTTGCTTGGCAACTCGAAATTTCAGCTCCATCCATAAATTTTCTATAGGATTCAGGTCTGGAGACTGGCTAGGCCACTCCATGACCTTAACCACATGCTGCCCAGCCACTGTATAAATACGGGGGCAGGGCGGCACGGCTGGGCAAAAGCACGTTTTAAAACGTGCGTTTTGTAAACAGGTAGGGGGCGTGCGCGAGGCACGCCGCCGCCCTACCTGTCCCGCCGATCACAGCCGCGGATATTAGTCGCCAGGTCACAGCCGGTCGTTACCGGCTGTGTCCCGGCGATCGGCGGCAAACGCTGACAGAGAGCACAGCTGCAGTAGCTGTGCTTTCTGTCAGTTCCCTGACAGCTCGAGGACACGCTGATTGGGACAGAAGAGTTTCTCTGTTCCAATCAGCAGTGTTCCCTGCAGTACACACCCCGCCCCCTAGTAAAACACTCCCCCTCACACAGTTAACCCTTTCCCTAAAAAATAAACTTAACCCCTTCCTCCCCAGTGCCATTAGTACAGTGTCAGTGTTTTTTTTTTTGCACTGATCACTGTATTGGTGTCACTGGGGATGTCAGTGACCCCAAGTCAGTACCCCCCAATTTCAGAATGTCCGCCGCAGTCCCGCAGTCCCGCCATAAGTCGCTGGTCACTGCCATAAGTCGCTGATCGCCGCCATTATTAGTATAAAAAAACCCTAAAAATCCCAGTATCTTTCCCGCCATTTGTAAACGCTATAACTTTCACGTAAACCAATTAATTTACACGTATTGGGTTTTTTTTTAGCAGAGACATGTTGCAGAATGCATTTTGGCAGAAATTTATGACAAAATTTGATTTTTACATTTTATTTTTTACTGGACATGTTTTATAGCAAAAAGTCCAAAATAGTTTTTTTTCCTCAAAATTGTCAGAGTTTTTTTTTTATAGCGCAAAAAATAAAAACCGCACAGGCGATCAAATACCACCAAAAGAAAGCTCAATTTGTGGGGAAAAAAAGGATGTAAATTTCATTTATGTACCGTATTGCATGACCGCGCAATTGTCCGTTAAACTAGCGCAGCGCTGTATAGCAAAAAAAAATGCCGTAAATTGTAGTATCTATACCATAGTTTGTAGACGCTATAACTTCCATACAAAGCAATCAATATACACTTATTGGGATGTTTTTTTACCAAAAACATGGAGCAGAATACATTTTGGCCTAAATTTATAACCAACTTTGAGTTTACTATATATTTTTTATAGCTGAAAGTAAAAAATATTGTTTTTTCTTCAAAATTTTTGGCATTTTTTTTGTTTATAGCGTGAAAAATAAAAAGCGCACAGGTGATCAAATACCACCAAAAGAAAGCTCTATTTGTGTGAAAAAAAGACGTAAATTTCGTTTGGGTGCAGCATTGCATGACCGCGCAATTATCAGTTGAATTAGTGCAGCGCCGAGTAGCAAAAAGAGGCCTGGTCATTAAGGGGGTAAATCCTCTGGAGGTCAAGTGGTTAATGTGCTTCTTCTTGAGCCGCTCCTTTGTTGCCTTGGTGGGCCAATTTGAGGCCTACCAGATCACCAGACCCCTTATTACAGGAAGTTGGGTTAGGCTCAATGTAAATAAGGCTCCATCAGGCAGATGAACTATATTGAGACCCACACCTCTGCTCCAACCATTCCGGGTTAAAGATCAGTTTTGGCTCATAAAAGATAATAAAGAGGTGCCTCTCATAGTGTATTATTATGATGGGAGTGACTTTGGGTGGGGGGCCCATGGAACACAGCCCCCTTTGGAGAGGTGGAGAAACCCATGTCACAGCTTCCCATATCCCTATTATGTGTAAGTCACCCTGTGCCTGTTAGGGGTACAGGATGGAATGTCCTGATATTGTGTAGACATGTATAGGTTGGGTGTGGGGGTTGTTAATTGTTTGCTGCCAGGTGGTCCCATTGTTCTATTGTGTGTCTTGCTTGGGAGCAAACTATTATGGGATGTATGTGTTTGTATTGACTTGGTGGGGGGGGTGTCTGCTGATGTGTCTGTTGTTACTAAATGTATTGCCCCGCCCTGTGTATATATCTGGTATCTGTGTTAAAATAATGCAGTCCATTTCCTGTTTTAATACAAGTCTGGTGCTGTCTCATCTTGTATGGTCAGCAGTGGTGTCCGTGGATCTGTGTTCGAACAGGGAAGCGGGAGTCTAACGGAAATAACCTAAAGCAGTCGGGGTTCGGTTCCATTACAATTATCTAATTTTATTAGAACAAGACAAGATTGCACTTACAACAGCGCTGAAGTAACAGGCATCAATCACTATGTTTGGGTGTTCCAAGATGGCGGATAACGCAAAGAAGTCAGAACGGAGGCTCTACCTGATGCGTTTCATCATAAAAAGACATCTTCTGGAGCTAGGAGACCGCCCTCCACCATCGCATTTATATAGACAAGAGCCAAGCCTCGATTTGGAATGAACCAATTCAGCATTATAAAAACCGGATGAAAAATCACTTTCGGGATTAGCAAATGTTAAACAAATGATGAACAATGTTAACCAAGCCTCCTTCTGATGGTTAGCTATACAATCTCATAAACCGATTGCTGATGTAGTCAAAAACTAATAATGAAGATTAACACTGTTTCCACATTGAAGAAGGCTTTCCTATAATTCACCAATTTGGCGAATTAATACATTTAAACTATACTAGTGTATATATTAATTCATGGGATTCCAAATCGATGGTAATGGACAATTAAACCTTGTATGCACCAAGGAACCATTTAGTGATGACTAAATGCTAAACAAGTGACATGATAAATTAAAATGAATATAAAAATTACATAAAAAATGTGTGGAGGTCCAAGATGGTGGACTCCTGAAGACGGAGCTCCGCTGACCCTCAGCTTCTACGGCCCTCCTGCTCTGCTCCTTTAGCCTCTGCAGCTCTGGGAGAGCCCTCTCCCAGGTCAAGACACACTCTAGCATCCCCCCATGGGAAAAATCGGGCTCTGGAAGACGCCCATGCCGCCACCTCCAGACCCCAGGACTTCGGTGCTGGACCGCTTCTTCACTAAGCCTGCATCCTTGGCCTCAAGTAGTGGTGGCAGCACCGGTGAGTGCTCCAGGAGATCTGCTGAGATGGAAGGGATGGACACAGACCCCC